GGAATGGAAACAAACCTACTACCACCTTCTCTGCACCTTATTCACTATACTTTCTCACTTCTTGTTAATTGAGGTGGTATTTTGTAATAAGACTAGCCGACTTAAAGGCTAAGTTAGCCGACCTAGAGGCTAAGGTAAAACTATAAATATTGTACTTGTACTCTTGAGCTGGTTAAGAAAACTAATAATACAAAAACCTGAGAGGGAGATCTTCTCCGTGGACTAGTGTCTAATTGACGATACCACGTTAAAAAACTCCTTGTCTTCTTTGCTTTTTTGCTATTCTGTTTGCTAAATTGACATGGTATCAGAGCCTCACTGATTTGGGAAATTTTTTATTTTCATTTGTTTTTCCATTAACCGACCTGATGCTGTTTCCATATCAGTACTCAAAACCTGACAACAATTAGCTCCATTCCCAGAATTTCATCATCACCTTCCTCCCAATTCACTCTAATCACCCCTTCTCTCCTAACGCAATTTTGAATCCCATTACAGCTAAATCCGGCTGCCTTAAGTCGCTTTACGCTATTTCTCGACCTGACTCACACTGGCCTACCTAGTTTCGCTGAAACAGAAAGAATCATACGTACTCTGTTCTAAAGGGCGTAACAATATGCATTTCCATTCCAGACGAGAACGGTATAACAAATTAATATGATCGATTGATTACAAATGGTATAGTGGAAACTCGAATGGAAACAAACCTACTACCACCTTCTCTGCACCTTATTCACTATACTTTCTACACTTGTTAATTGAGGTGGTATTTTGTAATAAGACTAGCCGACTTAAAGGCTAAGTTAGCCGACCTAGAGGCTAAGGAAAAACTATAAATTTTGTACTTGTACTCTTGAGCTGGTTAAGAAAACCGATAATACAAAAACCTGAGAGGGAGATCCTCTCCGTGGACTAGTGTCTAATTGACGATACCACGTTAAAAAACTCCTTGTCTTCTTTGCTTTTTTGCTATTCTATTTGCTAAATTGACATGGTATCAGAACCTCACTGATTTGGGAATTTTTTTATTTTCATTTGTTTTTCCATTTAACCAACCTGATGCTGTTTCTATATCAATACTCAAAACCTGACCACAAATAGCTCCATTCCCAGAATTTCATCATCACCTTCCTCCCAATTCACTCTAATCATCCCTTCTCCTCCTAACGCAATTTTGAATCCCATTACAGCTATATCCGGCTGCCTTAAGTCGCTTTACGCTATTACTCGACCTGACTCACACCGACCTACCTAGTTTCGCCGAAACAGAAAGAATCATACGTACTCTGTTCTAAAGGGCATAATAATCTGCATTTCCATTCCAGACGAGAATGGTGTAACAAATTAATATGGTCGATTGATTACAAATGGTATAGTGGAAACTGGAATGGAAACAAACCTACTACCACCTTCTCTGCACCTTATTCACTATACTTTCTACACTTCTTGTTAATTGAGGTGGTATTTTGTAATAAGACTAGCCGACTTAAAGGCTAAGTTAGCCGACCTAGAGGCTCAGGAAAAACTATAAATATTTTACTTGTACTCTTGAGCTGGTTAAGAAACTGATAATACAAAAACCTGAGAGGGTGATCCTCTCCGTGGACTAGTGTCTAATTGACGATACCATGTTAAAAAACTCCTTGTCTTCTTTGCTTTTTTGCTATTCTGTTTGCTAAATTGACATGGTATCAGAGCCTCACAACTAGGGCATTCTGTTTTTGGGCTTCGTTGGGTTGCTCCTGCCCTTCATCGTCATTTGTTTAGGGCTTGGTCTTGCTGCCGTTGCAACTCGCTTTTGTTTCGGTGCGGGTTGTTGTTTGCTCTCTACGGCTACAATTGGAATTCTTTCTCCACATTATTAATTGGTGGCTTTTTTGTTCCTTGTGCTGTCTGCGGTCAGTTGTCCATTGGTCTAGGGAAGTTTGTTTCTTGCCCTAGCTTTGCTTCCTTGCTTGCGGCGGTTTTATTTTTGGCTCTTCAGCTCGTTAATCATGGATCCTAGCAAGGTTGATCATTTAACCATCAAGTTAGATGGTACCAACTTTGTGCTTTGGGAGTTTCAATTCCGCAATTTTTTCGAAGGTCGACGTTTGCTCGAAATTTTGACTGGTGATGTTCCTCGTCCTGCGGCTACTGTTGATGCCAAGGACCGCGCTGACTGGGCTGCCAGGAATGCTCAGATTATTACTTGGCTTCTTGCGGTGGTTGATCCTCTAACTTCTCTTACCCTGCGTCGCTTTCCTACGGCTGCTGAGATGTGACACCATCTTTGTTCTGTTCACTCGCGCCAGGATGCTTCTCGCCAATTTCAGCTTGAAACTGAATTGGCCCAGCTTTCTCAAGGGGATCGGGACATCCGGACTTACTTTCACACGTGTCTCAACCTATGGGCTAAGCATGATATGCTTACGGCCTCCTTAACTACGAATGTTGTTGCCTCGGCTGAGCTGGTTGCCGAGCGTTCTTGTTCTCGCCTCATGCAGTTTTTGATGCATCTTCGCTCGGAGTTTGAATATCTTCGTGCCTCTCTCCTGCATCGCAACGTGACTTGTCTTGATACTGTTGTTGCTGAGCTTGTTCGTGAGGAGACTCGCCTCAAGTGTCAGGCCCAACTTGAATCCCCTGCATCTGGTGAAGCAGCCTTTGCGGTAGGTCGCGGCTCTTCCTAAGGCTCTTCTTCCCGCTCCTCCTCCGGTCGCCCCCAGTTTCAGCGCTCTGACTATAGTACTCTCACGTGCCATTTTTGTAATGAGGTAGGTCACATACAACCTCATTGCGAAAAAACGTAATATTTGTTCTTACTGCAAGAAGTCCGACCATATACTCTTTGATTGCCCCACTCTTGCACGCCGCGGTCATTCAGCTCGTCTATTTAGGAGCCGCAATAGGCACAACAGTAGTCACCACTACTTCGTAGATCAAATAGCTCAACTCTTGGCCAACCTCATGTTCGTCTTCATGATTATGTCGGTTTCTCATCAGAACCAGTTGCGATTCCATCTAACTATGAGGAAGCTAAGGGAGATCCTAACTGGAACGCAACAATGAATGATGAGATACGTGCTTTGTATGAAAATAAGACATGGGATATAGTGTTGCGGACACCGAATATGTTGGTCATCGGGTGTTGTTGGGTATACTCCATTAAAATGTATCCTGATGGCACCATTGAGCGATATAAAGCTCGATTAGTTGCTCAAGGTTTTCTTCAGGAGTATGGAACCGACTATGAAGAAACTTTTGCACCAGTTGCTAAGATGCAGACTGTGCGTATTGTCTTTACTGTGGCAGCAATGCAGAATTGGCCTCTTATACAAGTGGACGTGAAAACGCCTTTCTTCATGGTGATTTAAAGGAGGAAATTCACATGGAGTGTCCACCTGGGTATGCCGCAGGAGGGAAGAGCTTTGTCTGCAAGCTTCGTCGTTCTTTGTACGGTCTTAAGCAAGCTCCTAGAGCTTGGTTTGAAAAGTTTCATGGTACGATTATTCAAGCTGGCTTTATACAGAGTGATAATGACCCATCACTATTTACTCAACGGAAGATTAATGGTATTGTCGTCTTACTACTTATGTAGATGACATGGTTATTACGGGGAGTGATAGTGATGGTATTCAGGAGTTGACTCGGGTTTTGAAGACAACTTTTAAGTTGAAGGAGCTAGGTGAGGTTTCTTATTTTCTTGGTCTCGAGATACAACGTTCTCCGTCTGGATTATTCGTCTCTCAAAAGAAGTATATTTCGGATTTATTGAAGACTACTCAGTTTGAGAACAGTAAACAGTGTGCTACTCCGATGGAACAAAATTTGAAGTTGAGTAGAGATGAAGGGGAACTTCTAGAGGATCAAATGTTGTATAGGAGCGTGGTAGGGAGTCTTATTTATCTCACTCATACGAGACCGAATATTTCTTATACAGTCCAGGTTTTGAGCCAGTTTATGGGTTTGGCTCGTGTGCCACATATGAATGATGTGCATCGATTACCGCGATATCTTCATTATACGCAGGATGTGGGACTATTCTTTCAAGCTAAGGGTACTTTTACAGTGGAAGCGTTTGCTGATGCTGATTTTGCGGGTTGTCGGGATACCAGGAAATCAACGTCTGGTTGGTGTATTAGAATCGGGAAATCGTTTGTTTCTTGGCGGTGTCGCAAACAAGACAAGGTATCGAAATCATCAACCGAGGCTGAGTATAGGTCGATGTCCGAGGCTAGCTCAGAGCTTGTGTGGTTGCAGCGTGTTCTGGCTGTGTTGGATGTTACTTGTGACATGCCTATGAGTTTGTATGGGGATAATACAAGTGCCATACAGATTGCCATCAATCCAGTTCTGCATGAGTGTACTAAGCATATTGAGGTACATATACATTATATACGACAGTTGGTTGCAGAAGGATTGGTGCGTTTAAGCTATTTGTCTACTGAAGATCAGACTGTTGATATACTTACTAAGGCAGTCGCGTCTAGCAGGCACTGGGTATCTCTCTTCCAAATTGATGTTGCATACCCAACATCAATTTGAGGGAGGGTGTTAATTGAGGTGGTATTTTGTAATAAGACTAGTCGACTTAAAGACTAAGTTAGCCGACCTAGAGACTAAGGAAAAACTATAAATATTGTATTTGTACTCTTGAGCTGGTTAAGAAAACTGATAATACAAAAACCTGAGAGGGAGATCCTCTCCGTGGACTAGTGTCTAATTGACGATACCACGTTAAAAAACTCCTTGTCTTCTTTGCTTTTTCGCTATTCTGTTTGCTAAATTGACACTTCTATTTACTTTTAACCAAAAGAACAGAAACTTGTCTAAGGCGAAGAAACATTGTTATCTTCATGATTACCTGCCATCTGAACTTTGGAAAGCAACCTCATGGAGTTCGGCTTGGTGCTTGCTCTTGCGATGTTGAATCTTAGAAGGAGAGACGATGCTTCTGATTCAGATCGCTTGGTGTAGGGCGAGGATAGACAACAACTCAATGAGCTGAGAAGCTTTCTCTATGACTTTTTCCGGCGACCCTTTTCTGGGATTTTGCTGGCGGCTAGGGCAAGCAGAGGGGTTGGAATTGGAGCTGAGGCGAACCAGCCGCTTGCTTGAACCATACGGTTAGCCAAGCTTCTCGGTCCGTCGACGTGGTTGAAGATGGAGAAGCATACTTCGAAGAGCTGGAGAAGTAAAGTGTTTCTCCTGAGTGGGTTGGATTCTCTGCTGCTGCTGCTCCATGGAATGTCCCTCAATGGCATTCTGTTTATGGTGTCCAGCAATCTGCTAGGGTTAATGGGCAGCTCTGATAGAATTGAGCCAACAATAGAGAGCCCTAGGGTCAATCTCCCGACTCTCTCATTGATAGCTCGAAGAGCGTCGATCTCTGGGATCGAGTAGTCCTTTATGGTAGTGGTGGTCGTTTCTTGCATCAATGCCATTGCTTCAACACCTGATAAGTATGAGAGATTCATTGGTTCCAAGTTCATCACTCGGGGTAAGCGAGTGGAGATTAGTATATGTGTTTCTCCGCCGAATAGTGGGAGTAGATGCATGATGAGATTCTGATCCCACCAATCCTTTTCACTCTCCAGGTTGTCTATGATTAGTAAGAAGGGTAAGTTTCTTGTGAGCTGTTTTTTGATTCTCAGAATGGCTTCCTCCTCTTGTACATGCTCTCCCCACCAATCCAGAGCACCATTTTGTACCTCTGGTGATACCTGTAGGCGAATTCGAGGATAAGCTCTGTTTTGTCTATTCCTAGCTCATCTGAAACGCAAGCAATCCCCTTCCCGTATAGGGGCTTTTTCGACGATTGTCTTCTCCTTGCGTAATAACGTGGGTTCTGCTTCGGCCTTATCTCAATCTCCTTCCCTGACTCCTTCCACACTATAGGCGCTTTGAACTCATTATAATCCCCACTTACACTTTCCCATTTCCATCCAAGATTCATACTTTTCTTCCTTCTGTGTCTTGCCTTGAGCTGGAAGTAATCTCTTTCGTTTTCTCCACTCACATCACCAAACAGCATGAACTCCATCTCTCTCTTTTCCCGCCAACGAAGTTTTCGTTTTGACGAAAGGGATCTCTTCTTTGTTTGACTTCTCTTTCCACTTTGTCACTTTATCCACAATACTTCTCCTTCCTAACTTCATTTCCAAAAGTGTCACAACCCTCTGTATGCAGTCTCTCCAGTTTCCTTCTCGGGCCTCTAGCTTCCACTCGTCAACTCGGGACAAGCTATTTACAGCTTCCTTCCACTCTTTCTCCACCTCACCATAATGTTCCCAAAGCTCGCCTCCATGTTTATCCCACAAATCTCCACTCTTCTCAACAATGTCCCTCACAAGGAAATCTCCCGGGCTCAAGTCGAAAAACATGGGGACCAAGTTCCTCTTGTCAGCAAAGAACCGAAGCTCTTCAATGACATATGGGTTTCTGAAGCATTTTTTAGTCGGGACAACAATGCCGAAAGATTCCGTTTATTATTTCAGTTTGTTGCTGCCGCACTTCCCTTGACGGCTTACAAATATGTTTTTTCTCCACCGTGTCGCTTCCTCCTCCCTTCATCGCTATTATCAAATCAACCCAGACTCCAGCGACGGCGAGATCCACATCTCATCAACCAGTCCCACATACCTTCAGCAGCTCCAGCCGGCAACTCTGCCTTTGTCGAAAAAGCTTCATTGAACAACACCCACAAATCCTCCAAACTCGAGCGCCTGCGGAGTTGTCGTCGAGCACCAGGAGAATCCCGTCACGGTGCTCGAACCCCACCGCGGATTCTCTTAATTCCTTCCCAAATACCAGATTCATATCTCATTCTTCTCTCGCCCAGAAGAAAAAAACCCAAATCTAAAAACTGGCGACCACGGATTTCTCTCTCGTCGTTAGATATGAAATACATGCCAGCCATAACACGTTCACCAACCGTCTATTGCCTGCGTCGAGCACTGGGTAGATCCAATCGCACAAGGTGAGACCAATACCAACAAAGATTCAACAACAACGCCGTATTTTCCAAGTCGGCCCCAATGACCGAAGGAGTGGCGAAGCCGCACAAAGTCATTCCTGGAGTAGTCACCTTCCATGATATCCGCGAGTACCAGAACATTCTAGTCGAGGAGAATCTACTGTCACAGTTGGAGTTTGACAAGGAAGAAGCCATGAAGCTCCCTGAAGAGGACAAGCTGCAGAAGACCGTCTTGCACCTTCGGTTCCAGTCTGAAGCAGAGGGTCAAAAGAATCTTCAGATTGAAGGTGAGATTCATGAACTCAAGGTTAAAAGTCAAATCGATTGAATGATCAAAAGAAAGCGGCCGAGAAGGAGGTTTTGGGGCTTCAAATAGTTTGGATAGTTTGGAGTTCTGTTAAGATGAATATGTTTATGAATGAAACGAAAGTTCTAGAAATTGTGACTGAGTTGTTTATGTTGAGAAGAATGTGATTGCAATTGAAAAAGGTGATCAGATTGTCAATATGGGTTGGATGGAGGAAATCTCCAAGGCAATAGAGCCTCAGTTCTCTTTTCAGTTCTGAGTTCTTTGAAAAAAAACAACAAATAATGAAGGCAACCACGGAGTTGCAAAGTTAAACAAGAAACAAAAAAAGAGAAGCAGAAGTTGAGAAAAGAAGCAGAAAAGAAAGAAGGCAGCTGTCGCAAAATTGGCAGCACTGGGAAGTAGCAAAGAGAGCACTCCCCTGTTATTCAGTTTCTTTTTTTGATGGAATGCTAGCTAGCAAAATCAGCAGCAGGCCAGCAGTATATCTGACCCATATTTCGAATAGAATGCTAGCTAGCAAAGTCAGCAACAACATATTTAGACCACTTTAAAAATCCATCTAAAGCAGACAAGTTGAAGATGTGAAACTTCAACCAGCTAGCCAAGATGTAGCGGCATTTTTCGATTGAAGGAATGTTAGCCAACTAAGAAAAAACAGCAGCATATCCTATCAAAATCTGGAGAAACTCAAGCTACAAAGTTGAGTTAGGGGTTGAGGGGTTGAAGAAGAAGAAGTAGAGAAGAGAAGAAGAAGATGAGATACCAACTAGCGAAAGATGCAGTGGTATCACCGGTTGAAGAAGAAGAAGAATATTTTATAGCTAACTAGCTACAGATGCATCAGCTTTTCAGAAGATTGAAGGGAAGTTAGCTAGCTTGCACATGAAGATATTGAAAGATCGTCAAGACTCAAACCAGCGATCATGAATGTCTAAGTGGATCGACAAGGTTTAGAGGAAATCATCATCATCAACAAGTTTAGTTTTATTGTCAATGTTGTTATGTTTTATCTTTGTTATGTTTCCAAATGCTAGCTTGCACATGAATGAGAAACATCCAAGGGTTCTAGGGTTTCATTTTACATAACTCAACTTTGTTGTTAAGGATGACTGACCCTTCACATTAAAATCGGCGTTTATGCAATTAAATATGAGTTTGTCAATTCTGGAAATTTAGCGATGGTTTTATAGAGCTTTCGTGACTGTCCATCTGACAGTTGCTAAAGGTACTGCAGAGTATTTGATTCATTGCAAATAAATCCACGTAGTTATGTTCTTTGCAAACAGATCCTCAGAGTTTGTTAAATGTCGATTTAGTCATTAAATTTTCAGAATATTATAAGTAAAGTAATTAGAGATTATTGAACTAGTAATCAAGATAGTTAGTAATGATTCCTTAGTTTTAGTTATCTAAAGAGTATGATTAATTTTGTTTGGACGTGAGGAAATTAAGGGTCAATGTCTATTTTTTATCCAAATTTTTTTCAGATTCTTTTATATTATTCAAACCTATTAAAATGCTATTAATTAGTCAAATCTTTCGTAATGCATCAAAATATTAGTCATTTTTACGTTATTGTTAATAATTTTGTAACTCTTATCTTGGTTAAAATACTAAAATTTTGGAATGTTGACCTTCATGTGTCTCATCCAAGTCAGTATCATGTTGCCAAGTAAATATTACAGACAAAATTGCTAACTGAAAGTTAACATTTGGTTAATTCTTAGTATTTCGATAGATTTGGTGTTAGAAACCCAATTATCGGGTTAATTCGGTATTTGGACTTGTTTGTCGTTTTATTTATGTTTGGGAAACAATGGGTATTACTTATGGGTTTTTGGCTGCATTTGAGGATTATTCGGATTAATTGGGTCAAGGGTAATAGTTGGGGTAGCTAGTGGGAATTATTCGGGTTATATATTTTGTAATTAGTGGGTGATTACTCATTAAGCATATAATAACAGAATTCCCCAAACCCTAAATCCCTCTCCTCTCTCCCTCACTCGGCCGAACCCCTTCCCCTCGACCTCCCTCTTCCTTCGTCGGCCACCTTGGCTGCCCGACCTTCCTTCCCCTCTTCTTCCTCAACTTCCTCTCCAATTCCTCGATCAATCCGCCAATTCCCCGATTTCCCCAACTACTATCATCCCTAATCGAATCACCCTAGAAGTGAGACGCCTAGATCCTCGGGTTTCTTACAGTGGTATCAGAGCCTGCTCGGCGTCTGGGTCAAGAGAAAGATGAGTTAGTCATATCAATCCCCAGAGAGAAGGCTGCAGGAGACCGTGACCGTGGAGGATATCACGCACGAGGAGGACATCAAGCGGCTGCTGCAAATGGCGGATCACTAGATCAACCTCCATGTTCACATGGGAGAGGTGAATGAAACTCTCCAAGAGATGTCTAGAAGGAACAGTGACGATCTGAGGTCACTGATGGAGCTGATGAAGGCGACCCTAGCTCCTCAGGGGCTGCCCACACCATCGCAGCAGGTTGGAGAGGCGGCGGCGGGAGCGAAGGAGATCGTCACCATGGCGATCACAGCGGCGGCGTCGACCGAGGTGATACCGGCGCCTGAAGAGGCGCCGGGGGTGAGGGCGGCGAGGCCGCACGCGGAAGGCGGCGAGCGCGGCGGGGGCAGCAGCGTCCCGGTTTCGCCGGGAGACGCGGTGAGGCGCGCGGGGCAAGGGTCGGGCCAACCTAATCATGGGACGGGCGTGCTACCAACTCCGACGGCCCAGGAGCTCGCGGCAATGCGCGGGAAGGCCAAGCTGTCGGGCTACGACTCGGTGGGCGGAGAGATGGGCTTCGAGCCCATGAGCTCGAAAGCAGGGCGAGGTCGGGTCCAGGGTAACCGTGGGCCGACTGAGAGACGGGCCGACTGGGCCCGTAGTGCAGAAGAGATTAGCTTGATTGACCAGAGCAGAGAGTGGGCCGAATCTGACCCCCAAGGGAGACCATGGGCCAGCGACCACCATCCTAACCGACTGGGATTGGTCCGCGGTTGGTCGGACCGAGAAGGGCGACCTGGGATGGGGCGGGGCCAGCCGGAGTGAATCGAACCGGGACGGCTCGAATAGAACCGGTTCAGACCGGGACAAACCGAACCAAACCCGGTCGAACCAGTCAAATTGAACCAGTCGGGTTCGGACGGAAACAAATCGAACCGGACCCGGGCAGCCGCGGATTGCCGGGGAATGGGTCGTTTTGGCTTCTAGAAGGGAATGGGAGGAGGATCGGATGCAGTATACCCTGCCATGATGACACCTAAAGCCGATCGACATCGACCGAACCGACATTGGGAAACGGGTCAAGGATTCGGGTTTAAGGATGGAGGCTGGAGCGATGAGGAGGAAGGGTGGGGCTTCGACAATCAGGCATGGCAGAAACCGCAGCACGGGAGTCGTCGGGATCCTCAACAAGGCGGTCACGGCTTAGGCAGGTATGATGGTTACAACTCTGTGTATGAAGGAGATGATGAGCTGATGTTTAGAGCTAAGCCTCCGACCATTGAGTTTCCAAAATTCAATGTCCAAGAGGATGCAAGGTTGTGGATTTATGTGGCAGAAAGGTGGTTTAAGAATCACCCTACCTGAGAGGAGAGAAAGGCGCAGCTGGCGTCTTTCTACTTGGAGGGTGATGCGCTCCAGTGGTGGGAATGGATGGAGCTGTAGTAAAAGTTTGGGAAGTCTGAGGGATGGGCTCCGGAACAGCTAGCCAAGTTGCGCCAGACAGGCACGGTGGGTGAGTTCCGCTTGGAGTTTCTGCGGGTGGGGAATATGTGCAAAGGTATGCCAGAAGAGACACTGGTTGGTTTATCTCTTGCAGGGTTAAAGCCAGAGTTGGCTGCGGCTGTGAAGGGGTTTGAACCAGGGTCATTGCGGGTGGCAATCTGACTAGCTGGGAGCAAAGAAGAGGAGCTGGCAAGTTGGAAGGTAGTTCGCGGTCAGAAGGGCCTAGGGGGCTACTCGGCAGCAGGCGGAGTATAGGGAGGAGCAGCAGGTCCCCCGGTCGGGGCTGCGGCCATGGCGCAACCGGCGGCGACAGTAGGAGGGCGGCCTAGACCGAGATTGCCTCCGCGAGGATTTGTGAAGCTCATGCCGGCGGAAATGGAGCAGAAGCGCAGAGATGGTCGCTGTTTCAACTACGACGAGAGGTATAATGTGGGACACCAGTGCGCTAAAGGACACTTGATGCTGCTGGCGGGAAACTTGGAGGATGAAGCGGAAGAGCTATCCGTAGAAGAGGCCAAAGAAAACAAAGGTGAACGGGAACAACCTTGAGGGCAAGGTTGGTTTCGAGAGGGGTGGATTGTTAGAAACCCAATTATTGGGTTAATTCGGTATTTGGACTTGTTAGTCGTTTTATTTATGTTTGGGAAACATTGGATATTACTTATGGGTTTTTGGTTGCATTTGAGGATTATTCGGATTAATTGGGTCAAGGGTAATAGTTGGGGTAGCTAGCGGGAATTATTCGGGTTATATATTATGTAATTAGTGAGTGATTACTCACTAAGAAAATAATAACAGAATTCTCCAAACCCTAAATCCCTCTCATCTCTCTCTCACTTGGTCGAACCCCTCCCCCTTCCCCTCGACCTCCCTCTTCCTTCGTCGGCCACCGTGGCCGTCGACCTTCCTTCCCATCTTCTTCCTCAACTTCCTCTCAAATCCCTCGATTAATCCCCCAATTCCCCAATTTCCCCAACTACTATCATCTCTAATCGAATCACCCTAGACGTGATATGCCTAGATCCTCGGGTTTCTTACATTTGGCTAATTAAAAAGAATCTGAAAATGGTTTGGCTAATAAATAGTCATTACCCTTATTTTTATAAAAATGTGTACATGTATTATGATATTTTTAGTCTCTATAATCATTATAAATAAATGTGATCATATTATCATATATTATGATTTTTTGAAAAAAAACAAGTTTCGGTATTATGTTGTCTATCCATTTTTTACCAGACGAGGCTGATCCACAGCCTGAGCCAGCCCAATACAACTCGAATACGACCTAACTCAATCACCACCAGCGGGCGCCTTCTTCCTTCGCATGCGGTGTCTTTTCCTTGGAAACCCTAGATGATTGTAGTAGGGTTATATATTGTAAGGCCCTTGGTCGTGATCAATTAATCAAGTAATAAGAACTACAGTCGAAGAGACTCTTCTCTCCCGTAGACTAGTCTCGTACGACGGGGATACCACGTAAACACCTGTCTCTTTTATTTTCTCTCTTAAAAATATTTTACATGGTATCAGAGCTGTGATTCTCAATCCTTGAATCTCGATCATGGTGGGAGATGAAGCTTCCTCCTGCCTGGGCGCCACGCCGTAGTCCAAGACTGGGGTCTCGAGTGGTTACAGCTTCGACCCCCTAAGTCCTTTGCTCATCCATCAATCGGACAACACTGGACACTTGCATGTCAGCAGTCTTCTGATGCCTTCTAATTATGGAGAATGGGTATTGGAGACGACCGATGCCCTAGTTACGAAGCTCAAAGTCGGCTTCTTTGATGGTAGCTTTCCTCGTGTAGCCAGCGACACTCCCGAGGCCAACCAGTGGGTGTGTTGTGATGCCCTCATTAAAGGGTGGCTCCGGACGACCATGGAAGCCGAAATACACAGCAGTGTGATGCATGCGAAGACGACACAAGAGATATGGCAAAGACAATCTCACGTGGGCCTATGAACTTCATCGACACTTGATTCTCTTGCAGCAAGAAAAACAGACAGTATCCAACTTCTACACGCAGCTTCGCCGTATCTAGGAAGAGACTCAATCCATTCTCTCGTTGCCGCTATGCACCCGTGGTCGTAACAACAGTGAACAAAACGAAAGTCTTCGCCTCCTGGATTTTCTTCTGGCTCTCGACGAGACCTTTGCCACGGTGTGCAGTCACATTTTATCTATGACACCCACTCCAACGCTGCCTGAAGATTTCAACATTGTTTATAATGATGAGCAACAATGCTCTCTCATTCAGAATCTTTGCCTTGCTCCGGAGGCGGCGACATTTATTGCGCAAGGCGACTCTGACAAGGACGGCATTACGCGTCGCGGGGGCAGGGATCGTCCTTCGGGCGAACGCACCGAACGAGCAAAACTCATTGCTCCCATTACTGCAAGAATGGACATCTCAAAGAGTCTTGCTTTGAGCTGATCGGGTGGCCTTCTTAATGCAAGGCCTCTGAACAGCCACCCTGTCGCCGTAACCGCGACTACGAAGGCTGCAGAAGCCACGAGCCACGCGTTGCCCAAACTGAGGCCGATTCCAGTCCAGTAGCGGGGTTCACTATTTAGCGGTTAGAGCAGCTGAAGAGTTCTTCGGAGGTAATCTCATGGGCGCTAATTAGGGGTGGAAATCGGTACAGTGTCGGTATCCCAATACCAAATACCAAAATCCCGAATACCGAATTACACCCTAGAATCAATCACAATCCCAATCCCTAAATATTTCGGTATCCCAATCGGTACTTCGGTCTCCCAATCGGTACTTCGGTATCCCAATCGATATTATCGAATATGAAATTAATTACATTTACAATTAATAATTAAATATATAAATTTGATTTGATTGTTTAATATAGGACAAAGAGACTAAACAACGAGTTTTGAGTTTGGCTAGAGCTAGGATATGGATAAGAAAAATGGAGTAGAGGTGACATCTAAAGTTTTTGTAATTGGTAATCTTTAATTTGATGAATTGAAGGCTGAGAGAAGACTAATACTAGTGTTTGCTTTTTGGTGTTATGAAAATAATAATAGATTGGTGGTTGAGGGTAGTGTAGTAGTGAATGAGAGAGTCTAGTTGAGAGGATAAAATACACACTAACTTATATTTCTGTATTGTTTGGTATTTTGGTATATACTGATCCCAATCCCGTATTCCCTAATACCAAATAAAAATTGAAATTGAGTCCCAGTCCCAATCCCAAAAATAATATGTGTAATCGGTAAAACCAAATATAGACAAATTCGGTACGATATTCAGTATATCCCAAATACCGGTACCAAACTTCTAGCTCTAGCGTTAATGCCCCGGTTAGCAACATGGCTGGTACGTATTCGTTCTCTTCTGAACTTGAGTGGCTTATTGACTCTGGTTGTAACGAGCACATAGACATGAATGCTTCTCTGATTGACTCGTATAATTCTAATCTTCAAGGTCCTACGGTCCGTATTCCCAATGGGGCGAGTATCCCGGTCACACGTATTGGTTCTATTAAACTTAATGCAGGATTAACTTTGAGATGTGTTCTACATGTCCTTGAATTTCGTTGCAATCTGCTGTTTGTTAGCGGTCTTTGTCAGGATCATCGTGTGGCTTTAATATTTCTGGGTGACTCTTGCATAATCCAGGACTTACACGCGAAGAACGTGATTGAGAAAGGAGAGATTCTTGAGGGCCTCTTCTATCTGGTTTTGTTTGGGTTCAGGCAAGTTCAAGTTCATGCAGTGGTCCAGGCGGCATCAGTTTTGAGCGACCTTTGGCATGCCAGACTCGGCCACCCGTCCTCCCTGAAGTTGTCTCAGCTCAGTTCCTTTCTTTCATTGCAAAAGACGTCCAGTGATATTTTTTGTAGACACCACATTTTGTCTGGGATGATCACTCTACTTAAAACTAAAGAAGAAAAGGTGGAAGTTTGGACAGAATTGGTTGAGATTAGCAATGGCAAGTCAATAAGTACCAATGATTTTCAAGCTCGCTTTTATTTGATTATACTACCAAATTGGTTGAGATCATCAATGAAGTAAATAAGTACCAATGATTATCACATTTTATCCTATAAGTCATCGACGGTCTTTAACTTAGCTTTTATCTTATCTTGGAGTAAGGTTGAATCAACACATGAATATAAATTTGACATTTGTGGAATCAGCCCAAGTGATTGCTCAAGGTTTGGATTTAGTTTGCCTTTTGATAATTGCCGAATTGGATGAAGGAAACATATGAGCTTGTATTATAAGGGGTCGTTTGCTTCAAGGAATGTTATCATGGATTTCACACTAAAAACCTAATCATTAGGGATTTAGCCACAATCCCTTGTTTGTTTGTCACAAAATTTTTAGACAAATCTGTGGGCCCCACGGATTTGGGATTATTTTTTTGTTCCAAATCCGTGGGGCCCACGGCTTTACAAATCCCACATGATCATTAGGGAATTGATGATGTGCAGAAAAACCAAGAGGCCAATTGACACTCCTATCCTCATTATATTTCATTAAACCAAGATTTCCCTCTCCATCACCCACATATATGTCGCTTCCACTCTCCCTCTGCCCATTGCACGCCAGACCGAGGAAGCTACGAAGAGGAGTTCTGCAGTGGGATTTCTGGAATTTGCAACGCGCACCAACAGAAGCTTTCTTCGGCCGGCGATCAGTCTGCATTCAGCCGACATCAATCTCCGGCAGCGAACCTGAAACCCAGGTGAGCACGACACTCCCTTCCTTGCAATCGCCATTTTCTTCGTGTGGGCATCTCCATCCTCCAACTCTGATTCGGCTCCGACAATAAAGGACGCTAAAGAGGAAGGCGGCGGGGCAGTCCTCCATTGCTCACAATTCTAGCTGGGTTTTTGTTCTTAGGGTTTTGTTGGATTGTAGTTACTATTGGTACATGGTTGTTCAACCTGATAGCCTTCTGGTCTTTGTTGCAGCTCTCTGGTTTCTGTTTTTTTTTTTTGGACACTAACGAGGAAAGCAGGGAAACGAGATACAACTGCACCCCAAAAAGGACAATAGTGTAAATGCATTTTTTTTTGTTTCTAAAACCCAAATCAGTAAATCCATGATCAAAATAAGAAACAAACGAAGGACTTTCACAAATCCAAAATGCCCCAAATCCCAAATAAAACCTTAGGTTTTTAAATCCCACATTTAAGTAAAAACCCTCATTTTACAATCCTTGAAACAAACGACCCCTAAATGTTTAGACTGTGCATTACAAGATTGATTACATTTCATAATGGAAGCCAATGTTCTAATTGATGGCACATAGTTGGTTTAATTAAAAGATTACATGAACTTGAACAAGGAAGAAAATCGAAAAAAAAAAAAAAAACTTGAGGAGACCAATCAGCTCATTCGAGCTATTGAGCCGTCATCTTCCACCCAAACGAATAAAGTACCTGCAAAAAAAAAAAAAAAAAAAGAGGACAGATTAAGCCCAATTAAGCCCACCGTTGGTCAACTTGAGTCAACCAGTCAACTCAAGCCAATCAGCTTCTTTCTTCCTTGTCCATATCCTACCCCAAAGGGCAAAGAGAAAATGGTTGTTGCCTGCCTCTTGAAAAGAGGTCGGTGCCACCTCTCAAAACAATCAACTAATAGTTGCCACAACACACAAATAAACAGTAAAATGGGCAGTATAAATGGGTTTCTTACCGCAAAAAAGAGAGGAGGAGATGAGCGACCATAAAAGAGGGAGAATTAGAGAAACAAGGGAGCTGATGCTCGAGAACAAGACAAAAACAATAAGCAGCAAGGAGGAACCGGGAAACAGAAGGCAGCAAGCAATCAATCAACAAGAAAATCAACCCACAAGACGACTCCTCAGGAATTCCAGGTAAGTATATCTCAAATCCAAAATCATCCCTTCACCCATTCATAAGAATAAACATCGCTATGTATGTGATAGAAAGTAGAAATCAATGTTCTTCATGGTAGGCAGACATGTATATGCTTAGCTCTTAAGACACAGCTGATCAGGAGCTAAACTCTTGCAAGTATAATGGGAATGCAATCAAATCTGTGTTTTTTTTATGGGGCAAAAGATATGCTTGTAAGTTAACCATATGCTAGAATTCTTAATCACAAATCAAGGGAGCCACAAACAAAACTAGATCTGATTTTCACTATGCTTTTCCATGTTATATATTTCAAGCACTTGGTTGAGTTGATTATAAACCCTCATCGATTATCGAGTCATATCTAGTTTAAAATGCATGATTGATCCCTTCTTAACATAGTTGAATTCCCAGCAAGAGAACCCATTTCCAATCCTCATGAAAAGAGCAAAGAAATAACAGGCTCAGACCCATTGCAAACTCGGTTTTAGGAGGATACCATAGAAATACATTTTCTTTCGTTATCTAGGTAACCCCTCCAAATCCGATCATAACTTAGAATATAACCTTTCGTTTTAAACCAAAGTCATAAGCAGAGGCCATGTCTTTTTTCTATCATTCTCAAAGTGGAGTATAAGAATCAGAAACACGAAATTTTCTACAATACATAACATATACGACAAACGCACACTACAATCGTTTCTTCAAATCTGAAATCATTAGCAATGGCTAAGACTTTCAGTTAGCTTTGAATCATTTCAAGATAATCAAACAATGGTTTTCATTGGTATCATGAAAAACTTATACTAGATAAACCCCAACAGGAGGTTTTAACCCAAATCTGGTGCTTTGGCATCACCTCGATTTATAAAATAAGGAACTAAGTCTTAGTTCGTTTAGAACTCAATTTATCAAAAGGAAACTAGAGATTAAAGGAGTATTACCTGGTACTTCTCCAAACCAGAAAAATCTGCATAAAAAAAGAACAAAAGTCAGAAACCATGTAAGAAATAACAGACCCCACAAATTCGAAACGATTAACTCAACCCATCTAACCTAGGAAAATAGAAATAAATAGGGGAAGAACTCACCGAGATCAAATCGGTGTCGGAATCCTCGTCGTCGGCAACTGCTATTCTCTTGCGGCCATCTCCCCGTCGCCCTTTCTCCTTCTCCTCCCGTCGGGATCGAGTGCTCAGAGAAACCAAACAAAGAATTGAAGGTTAGATCCCTAAAAATACCCCCCAACTCTGAATCAAAACATAGAAAACTAACATGCAGTGGTAAGGTACCACTCACCGGCGACGTAAGGGCCTCCTGAACCCACGGTTACCCACCCGGTCCAATCCGGTCAACGCGGGTAAAATCCGTGTTGACGGGTTTTGGGCCGGGTTTGGTTTAAACCAGTTCACTATTCATCGAGTTAGGTTGGGTTTGGATTTAGGTGAACCCGACCCATGGGTACCCGCCCATACCCATATAATTAATTTTCTTGGTATATTTAATATTCTAAACAATTAATCTTATTTATGTTTGTGGAGACATGTCTAATTTTTTCTTTCTAATTGTATAGAATGAAGTTGATGTTATCGAGTGCAGAGTGAAGAAACTTAATTGAAAGGAAGAAGTTTTCAATAAATCATGTTATTTATGGATAATTTGTGATTTGCTTCAATTTTCTTGAGTTTTCTACATTGGTGTTGAACCATTTGTATAGTTAATTTATGATTTGCTTGAATTTTCTAGAATGTTGTTTTATATATGGATAATTTGTATTGAGAGATTGATATTTGACTTTAATTTTGATAGGAACTTGTTATTATAATTTTTTTACGACAAAAACCCTTGGGTACCCATGAACCCGCGGATACCCAGCGGGTTGGGTTTGAGTTTTTCAAACCCAATGGGTTTTACCCCGAGTTTTTTCACGGATAAACCCATGGGTTTGGGTTTGGCAAAACCCGACCCAACCCGACCCATTACAATCCCTAGTGATCGTCGTCGTTTTCTGGCAGAGGAAACGAGAGAGAGAACCAAAAACAAAAAACGAGAGAGAGGGAGAGTAAAGTGAGTGGCGGCTGACTTATCCCATCCCTGTCGGTTGGACGTCAAATGACCATAATGCCCCTAGGGTTTCTAAACATTTACGTGGCCTTGCCTCAGTCCTTTTGAGTAATTACCAAAGTGCACTAAACCCGTCTCTGCACTAAAAAAATGAAAATCTCAAAAATTATTGAGAGTAAGTTTCGAACCCGTGTCCTAATGTAGGAACACGCTATACGACTGGCACTTTAGCCAGTTGGGCTGCTGGCCCATCATACATAAATATAATCATCACATTTAGTTTTATTTGTTTAAAATTCTTAATAAGAAATGTTGAATGCGGATTAAGTTTATCTTGTTTCTTTTATAATACATTAAATTACTTCTTAATAGCTAAAATCCTCGTTTTCTCTTTTCAGAACTTCATAATAAATCAGCTTAAATTTCGTTAACAAAAATCTTCAATACAAGAACCACGATCAGTGGAATGTGGTAAAAATTACATTTAAAATTATCAACGTCACAAAACGAACTATGTAGACTTTGATCTCGCCTAACGGGTACGTAGGCAACCGATAAGGTTCGAGTCCAACTAACTAATCAATTTTATCTTCAATTTTTACGTCAGTAGGCGTATAATTAAATTACAACTAATACAATTTAATTTCTTTAGTAGCCCAGTAAGGCCCTAAACCATAACTATAATTTAGCAATATATTAATGATAAAGCGAGATCTTAAGAATACACAATTTTTATCAAAATACACCCAACACATTTAAACTTATCAAACTTAACTAGTACCAACTTCAGGCATTGTGGGTTGTGATTTCACTTCCCCTCACGTAACCGTACTCCCGAACCTAGATTTCTAATCACAGACCAAGCCTCGGTTCTGACCCTAAGGTTAAAGCCGACAGAAGAGTGTTCGATCCATTCCAAGTAAGATCTATGGCGACTCCAAAAGCAAACGCGACTCGACCCCGGAGGGACGGTTGCGACAATTGTCATTCTTGTTTTCGTGCAAAATAACTTCGAAACTCATTTCCTACTAGTTCCATTTGTACTACCAATTGTTTTGAGTTAATTGCACATGGATATTTGGGGTGGTTATCAAACTGCATCTCTTAGTGGTGCTCATTATTTTCTGACAATTGTTGATGATTATAGCACTCACTCTAGCTCTTAAGTAACCCGGCTTCTACTTACTTTCTCACATATTAACACCTCTCCCTGCTTCTTTTTATTTCAATATATAGCTCTCGAGAAAAGGATGTTGTCATATGCAAAAGGCATATGTGAGATCATAGGGGCCTCCCTCTTTACCCTTATTCCTTCAACTACCCATTTTCTACATTATGTTTTATTAAGTTAGATAGCCCTTCTGCCACCATCAAGAACAAGTAGTAGGTAGGGGATCCCCATGTCTCAAACCTCTTGTAAGGAAAAAGGTTTATGTTCTATGACCATTAACCAACACTGAATAGGATACCGTAGACACACACTAAATAATCCACCTGTCATCAAAACCAAACTTAGTCATCATAGCCTCTAGAAACACCCATTCCACTTTATCATACGCTTTGGCAATGTCTAGCTTTGCTGCCATAAATGCTTTCCTGCTTCTTTTCCATTCTTGCATAGATTGAAAGCACTTTGACACTGTCCAATCACCTCATTACGCACTTTTTCAGTCTATTCGCTAGGGCCTTTGATAGTATTTTATAAAGTACGTTGCAAAGGCTGATCGGCGTAAAATCCATCAGGCTTTCAAGGCTCTTTTTCTTTGGAATCAAAGCCACTAGGGTATGGTTGAGTTTTTTAGGGAAAGATCCTTGTTCAAAGTATCCGTGGAGTGCTGCTGTTACCTCCTTTCCTACTACTACCTAGTTTTTTTTTTCCCGAAAAAAGAGAGCAGACATCCCATATACCCCAGGGGGTTTATTTGGTCCCATGTGTTTGACAGCAAACCAAGTCTCCTCTTCAGTGGGAGATTTTAGCAGTTGTTCATTCATCTCAGCTGTAACTTTCGGTTGAGTGGCTTCCAGAATTACTTGAGCATGTTGAGGATTTCCATATGTAAAAAGTTCTTTATAGAAGTCCACCACACAATTTGACACTTCCTGCTCTCCCTCTATGGTTACTCCATTTCTGTCAACCAGCTTCCTTAGTTCATCAAGAAGAATATTCTTATTAAGACTGTTCCTGTTCAAAGTTTCTTATTACTGCAAATAGCCAGATTGTATTTTTGTTCATCATGTCTAAAGCTTTACGATGGAAGAAGTTCGTGTTTTTGTCGCCCACCTTTACCAGTCTGTCCTCGATCTTTGTTTCCATTTAAGTTCTTCTTGCATCAGAACTTCATTGAACTCCTTTGAAAGTACTCTCCTCTGGAGCACAACCGCAACATCTGTCTTTCGCTTGTCCAATTTAGCCAAGGCTCTTTCTGCTTTAAGTCTTCTATGTGTGAGATTTCCAAAAGTCTCTTTGCCCCATGAACTTAACTTTTGTTCACATTCTAATATCCTCTCCATAATCGTCAGACCATCACCTTAAGCCCATCCTTCTTTGATCACCTGCTTACATCCCTCATGTCTTTGCCAATATGGCTCAAATATGAAACTCCACCCCCACTTCACATATTCATGAACTAGCGAAGTCTGTAGGAAAATTGGACAATGATGTGAACCACATTTTTGAAAATGGTAACCCTTGCATGGAGGAATAAAGTCTACCCTTCACCCGTTCTGAGCATACTCTCAAGTCGTTCTTCCACAAACTCCTCCTCTTATTTCGAATTATCCCATTCTTTTCCTCATAACTGGAAACCTGATTGAAGTCTCTTCCCACCAACCATGGAAGAGTATACTTGTCTTTTGAGTAAAGCAACATAAATGCCTGTAAAATGCCACTTTTTGTTCTCCTGCTCTGGCCACCCATAAATGCCTGTAAAATGCCACTTTTTACCTCCTTCAATTTCAGTGTCAGTAAAAATTTTATCTGCTTCTTTAACCTCTACCCTCAGATCGCTTCTCCATAACATAGTAGCCCTCTAGCTCGTCTTATAGAGCCCACACCTCTACCTTTTTCCCATCCTAATTTCACCATTACTTCTTCCCACTCATGATCCTTCTTCTTTTTCTCCATCAAGAAGACAATATCGGGAGTTTTCCTCTGGAGCAAGCCCTCCAGTTTCCTAATTGCTAGGGGACTCCCTAACCCCCGACAATTATAGCACAAGATATTTATTGGGCTGGGCTGCTTTGTGATGGATGATCATTATTATTATATTTGTTATTATTATTATCATCATGATCGGCATTGAAGGGGGGATTTTTGGGTTGATAGTTTATTATTACTATAATTGGTGTAGCATTGATAGGAATTGGGAGTGTTTTGGCTGATTGGGATTAGTAAGGGGTGGCGGTCATTAGTTGGCCGAGTAGTATTAGGTTTTATTGTTAGGGTTTTGAGTGTTTTACTATAAATATATACTTTGTGGTTTAGTTTTAGTAAGTCAATGAAGAAGAAAACCCCTAATTTAGTTATTTTAGTTTATTTATCGTTCTTGTGCTGCGATGCTTGATCCGTCAATGCATCAATTGGTATCAGAGCCTGGTTCGAGAGAACCGAGCTCGCTGCTGCAGCTCCTAGGGCAGGCATCGCCAACATTCAACCACCAATGTTGGGAAGAGGTCCCGCGAGAAACCCCTACACCGCCAATACTACTGAAAGTCGCTATGCCTGATCGATATCAGTTTATACGCGATATGCTAGAAGAGCAAGAGCTTCTTGATCTTCTGGAGGAAGAAGAACGGTTCGAAAATATTGTTCCCCGTCGATCTTCGTCCAACTGCCAGTCACGATTCCCTCCGCAGTCCTCGCGAACGCAATCATTTCTGATCCCATCCCATCAACCGCCGCCAAAGTTCCTAGGGCCAACGTCGCTGGACGTTCACCATGTACCGCTGGAAGTTACTACCTCATACAACTGCTGTCAACCTCGTTGATGGAGGTCGCGTTGGAGACTGCCGGTCGACGCAAGGCCCCCCCGACGAACCGCAAGACGTTCGCGTCAAACTGCTGGAGTTTGTGCCATCTGTGGTCGCGACTTCAACAACTGCTGCCAGCACCGTCACCAGCTGGGATGACGGAAGCTGCAACCCCTTGCTGGATTGCATCTTGCAAGCGTTTCAAAAGGTGAAACAATCCTTCGACAGGTACTGTGAGAAGGTGGAGGCCCTCGTCAAGCACCGGCAGGAAGCCTATCGAGCTTTCCCTAATGCAGCTGCAACCGCCGGGGTTCCGGCCACGCCAGCACCGCCGCAACTGCCTGAAGCTGTTCCTGTCACCGCTGCTGCCATAGAAGGAAACCATCCGCCCGCCACTGTTGTTTCCATCGTCGGCAACGTACCAACATTGTCTGCTACCCCGTCTCCGCCACCGGCGACTGCTGTTCTTCCACCGTCGCCACCGACCATTGTTCGGTTGCCGCCACCATTG